TCACGCTCGACCTTTCGGTCTCAGTGTTCCGAGGCCATATCTGCATATGCTAGGCTCGTCAAGTTTAACCCGAGTATTCTGCGTGTGCAAAACTGGCTTGCACCCGTTGTAGATGAACGTAGAGCTTATCACACCCGATCATCACGTGGTGTCTCGGCACGATGAACTTTGGCAACGGTGCATACTCAGGGAGAACACTTTTACCTTGAAATTTAGTGAGAGATCATCTTATAATGCTACCGTCAATCAAGCAAAATAAGATGCATAAAGGATAAACATCACATGCAATCAATATAAGTGATATGATATGGCCATCATCATCTTGTGCTTGTGATCTTCATCTCCGAAGCACCGTCATGATCACCATCGTCACTGGCGCGACACCTTGATCTCCATCGTAGCATCGTTGTCGTCTCGCCAACTATTGCTTCTACGACTATCGCTACCGCTTAGTGATAAAGTAAATCAATTACAGGGCGATTGCATTGCATACAATAAAGCGACAACCATATGGCTCCTGCCAGTTGCCGATAACTTTGTTACAAAACATGATCATCTCATACAATAAAATTTAGCATCATGTCTTGACCATATCACATCACAACATGCCCTGCAAAAACAAGTTAGACGTCCTCTACTTTGTTGTTGCAAGTTTCACGTGGCTGCTACGGGCTGAGCAAGAACCGTTCTTACCTACGCATCAAAATCACAATGATAGTTCGTCAAGTTAGTGCTGTTTTAACCTTCTCAAGGACCGGATGTAGCCACACTCAGTTCAACTAAAGTTGGAGAAACTGACACCCGCCAGCCACCTATGTGCAAAGCACGTCGGTAGAACCAGTCTCGCGTAAGCGTACGCGTAATGTCGGTCCGGGCCGCTTCATCCAACAATACCGCCGAACCAAAGTATGACATACTGGTAATCAGTATGACTTGTATCGCCCACAACTCACTTGTGTTCTACTCGTGCATATAACATCTACGCATAAAACCAGGCTCGGATGCCACTGTTGGGGAATGTAGTAATTTCAAAAATTTCCTACGCACACGCAAGATCATGGTGATGCATAACAACAAGAGGGGAGAGTGTTGTCCAAGTACCCTCATAGACCGAAAGCGGAAGCGTTAGCACAACGATGTTGATGTAGTCGTACGTCTTCACGATCCGACCGATCAAGTACCGAACATACGGCAGCTCCGAGTTCAGCACACATTCAGCTCGATGACGTCCCACGAACTCCGATCCAGCAGAGCTTTGCGGGAGAGTTCCGTCAGCACGACGGTGTGATGACGTTGCTGATGATGCTACCGACGCAAGGCTTCGCCTAAGCACCGCTACGATATTACCGAGGTGGAATATGGTGGAGGGGGGGCACCGCACACGGCTAAGAGATCAAGAGATCGATTTTTGTGTCTAGAGGTGCCCCCTGCCCCCGTATATAAAGGAGGGAGAGGAGGAGGGGGCGGCCAAGGAGGAGGAGGCGCGCCCAAGGGGGCAATCCTACTCCAAGTAGGATTCCGCCCTCTTTCCTAGTCCAAGTAGGAGAGGGGAAGGAAGGGGAGGAGAAGAAGAAGGAAAGGGGGGGCCGACCCCCAAGTCCAATTCGGTTTGGGCTAGGGGGGTCGTGCGCTCCTAGCTCGCCGCCTCTCCTCTTCCTCCGTATGGGCCCATGAGGTCCAATAACCCCCCGGGGGGTTCTGGTAACCCCCCGGTACTCCGGTATATGCCCGAAACCCTCCGAAACCATTTCGGTGTCCGAACATAGTCATTCAATATATCGATCTTTACATCTCGACCATTTCGAGACTCTTCATCATGTACGTGATCATATCCGGGACTCCGAACTACTTTCGGTACATCAAAACACAAAAACTCATAATACCGATCGTCACCAAACTTTAAGCGTGCGGACTCTACGGGTTCAAGAACTATGTAGACATGACCGAGACATGTTTCCGGTCAATAACCAATAGCGGAACCTGGATGCTCATATTGGTTCCCATAAATTCTATGAAGATCTTTATCGGTCAAACCGCATAACTACATACGTTGTTCCCTTTGTCATCGGTATGTTACTTGCCCGAGATTCGATCGTTGGTATCTCAATACCTAGTTCAATCTCGTTACCGGCAAGTCTCTTTACTCGTTATGTAATGCATCATCCCGCAACTAACTCATTAGTCACATTGCTTGCAAGGCTTATAGTGATGTGCATTATCGAGAGGGCCCAGAGATACCTCTCCGACAATCGGAGTGACAAATCCTAATCTCGAAATACACCAACTCAACAAGTACCTTCGGAGACACCTGTAGAGCTCCTTTATAATCACCCAGTTACGTTGTGATGTTTGGTAGCACACAAAGTGTTCCTCCGGTAAACGGGAGTTGCATAATCTCATAGTCATAGGAACATGTATAAGTCATGAAGAAAGCAATAGCAACATACTAAACGATCAAGTGCTAAGCTAACGGAATGGGTCAAGTCAACCACATCATTCTTCTAATGATGTGATCCCGTTAATCAAATGACAACTCATGTCTATGGCTAGGAAACACAACCATCTTTGATCAATGAGCTAGTCAAGTAGAGGCATACTAGTGACACTATGTTTGTCTATGTATTCACACGTGTATTATGTTTCCGGTTAATACAATTCTAGCATGAATAATAAACATTTATCATGATATGAGGAAATAAATAATAAACTTTATTATTGCCTCTAGGGCATATTTCCTTCACAGCTATCTCACTCATTGTGAGCGATCCTTCATCTTTATCGTCATTCTGTAGTACTTTTTACCCCATATAAAGGTACCATGGTACAACTTGTGTGAGCGCAAACAACCGGCCGATCACGTACGCCTTGAATGCCGGACCATGCCGAGCAAGAATGTCATATTCCAACCATGGATGAAGATATGAAGGACAAAGAAGAAGACCAAAGTGAGGGTGAAGAACCTCGACATCCATCCTCTTCCATGTCAAACGTTGCCGGATGCGCATTGGTGTTGAGAAGGGTACTTGCCATGAGAGTGTAACCTATAAATCCATCTATGCAGTAATGCTACTTCTCTTCACCACCATTGTACCAGGACAATTAAGAATAACAAATAACTACCACATCTAATTTCATGCAATGAATAAAGTTACACCTACTTGCGTGACGTATCATGTATATTTTCTCTCTACATATGCCAAAAATTTGAAGGATATCATGCAATGAGTGACCCATGCATGTAGTGAAGCTAGCAAATGGAGTGGCATGTTATTTCCTTGTATTCTCTTAGGAAAACAACTTGGGAATATGACAATACAATCGACATGAGCGACATTGGGAAAATAGTTCAACCTAGGAACCTTGTTGATATTGTAGTACTGAAGAGAGTTTCTTTTTAGATAAACATATTGTTAATCCGATGAGTTTGAACCATCACCTCATTCTTCTTAGTTGTGTTTATTTTCCTTTTCTCCATTTGGCATCGACGAATGCCACATGTGCATCCCACCTCTCCATCTGGTGGATTTAGTTGCTGATAGCTAATTTGTCTCAACGGTTAGCTAAATTTGCTTTGATTTAACAAAAAACTGATGTGCTACTTTTGGACTTTAAGGGAATTAATTATCCATCGAAGTATGTTCCCTCTCCATGCATCTTTCTTTTCCTCTTGTAATAGGGTTTAAGGTTTAGGGTTTACTCAATTCCGGAGTGACATTAATTTACTTCGATCTATACATTGAGTAATATAATTGTTTGTAGGAAGTTACGCTTCCATCGAGTATTGATTTTTGTCTCCATGATAACCAAAAACTGCTTCAAATTAGCCCAAAAAAGGTACTACGTAGCTGTAAAATTTGCTTCCAAACCATTACCATACTATTTTAATTTTATCAACCCAAGAATTGTTTCCGTAGAAATATGGATTTGTTTCTACCCAATGGATTTTTAATATTTTGAATGACATGGATATGTTACTGATTGATGAATATTTGCTTCCGTTAAATGAAGAGTTTGCATCTGACAAGGGTGGTTGGACTTGATGAAGATAATTAAAGACACCCTTAATGATTTTTCAACACAGTACAACCGTAGACGCCCTTGTACACTCACTCTATGAACGCACGCACGCACACCCTACTCATATGAGCACCTCCGTGATATTGAGCCGACATCATATATTCAGATTGACGAAGTCACCACAGGCGTAGTCGACGGGAACGTCTCCTCCTACTGAACAAGTATCATCGAAAATCCTAAAATAAATTCAGAAAAATACAAACACCAGTGCCAAGTCTGGGACATGAACCCTAGTGGGATGGTTCCACCACAAGGAAGCTAGTCATCTGAAATACGCCCAGTTCGCACACGCTCTTAGTGTTATAATGAATCGGTTTTGCTACTAAAGAACATCTAGTGTGCCATAATTAAGTATTGCACATCTAAGTCATGTGTCATTGATCAAACGTGGAGATTCATGTGAGTGTTTTTTTTCTTTTTCCTTTCCTTTTTGTGTTAATTGAGTCATTTAGATGTGCAATAACTAGAGCACACATCTAGATGTGCCCTAAACAGACGCATAATGTATAGCCTAAGTTGAGAATTTAATTCTTGGTCCTTCAACTTGTCAGTATGAGGATGTTTCTCGTAGAAGAAGAAAATAATAGGTGTTTTTTCCTTGTTTCTCTCTCATATATGTTCTTTTACCACAAAAGGAAGCTACATGAGAAATGGATAATTTGTAAATGTGTTATTAACTTATAAACGACGAAATTACAAGGACGACTATATGTATCATGTATTTGCACATGCGTCTTCATCTCTACGTGCATGTAAACAAGAGTAAGCACATACAACATATATGGAGAGAGAGATCAGTTGTTGTATAGTGAGTAATTGGGAGGTAGGACATGTTATTCCCTTCTCTTCCCGGACTGAGTACACTGGGCTGTAGGCCACGTACGTACTCTACGTACGCATTCCACATGCAGACGGTTGATTGGTTAGAGCTGCGAGAGGAACTGAAGCTGCCTGAGGATGGGGTTGAGGGCCTCCATGAGCTTCTCGCAGGGGTGGTTGTGGACGCCCTCGTACGTGGTCACCACGATGCTCGTGTCCTTGGCCAGCCGCTGCACCTGCTTCTTCACGTTGCATGTGTGGTGCGTGCACCGGTAATAGCTCCTGAAACATCACACAAATGTTGGCAATAAGGCAAAAAAAAAAAAACTTACTACTCGACTAAGGAAGTTGTTGAACATAATATCACTTGGCATTCCATTGTCAATTCGATTATAGCAATTAATCAATGCATGCTACAACACATTACACTTGTGTACAACATTCCAATACTTCACATGTTTCACAAAGCACACTAATTGATCCGTGAAATCAAACTATATGTGCTTCCATTAGATCAAGTGTGTTTGTCGAATGCCCATCTAGTAGGGTCAAGCATATTCCGATTGGAAAATGTAGGGATCGTATTTTCAGACTGATTATTATTGTTTGGGAGCGAACGCTTGAATAGATTCTGATACAAAGGAGGAAGAAGGCACTAGGCGAAACATAATGAATTCAACAGCGTGGGGAGGGGAATAGGGGACAGAGAAGGAAGAAAGATGAAGAAGGCAAGGAAATAGTTGACCAATATCGACAATGACCTAAATGTCGACGATAGCATAGAGGGGTGGTTGATAGGTGCATCTACAAGTTATGAGCACATCCCATGTGGTT